CCCCAGCACCGGCAGTTCCTCCTATCTCTGCTGCACTTGAATTGATTTTGCTTGTCTCACTGCTAGCTGAACCACACAATGTAATTTACCTGAAACTGAAGAGACAACTGTGAAGGGAACCCAAGCTATGGGGCCCTGAAGCTTCATGCTGCTATATTCAATAACGTTAAATTCAATAACAATTTGCTTGGAGGCAGACAAATAAGGCTGGAACTATCACTACACCAATATTGTTCTGCTCTAGAACTTTCTCCCAAGTGACAGACTTAGTGTTTATGTCATTGATACAAATTTGATGGAATTATTTGAATTTTTGACATTGTAGATTTTCTCTGCTGATAATTGTACTGGACTGAAATGCCTTGGTTCCATTTGAGGGATGGGCTGTAGTGGTCTGAGAATCGAGCAGACACTGGGTGTGATCGTGCTTTTTTTTAATGCAGTTTTGTTCACTGCAAATTCGAGTTGTGCAACTCAGTTTGGAAGCTGACACAAACTCCAAGTGTGGAATTTTGGCATTTGTATAGATTAGAAAGGGAGGAAGCTCACCCACTTGGGAAAGAATCGATAACAAGAAGGCAGAGATTTAGAATAACTGGAAAAGGAGCCAAAATTATATGAGGAAAAAAAAAATTCCACACTGCAAGTGGTAAAGGTCTAGAGGGCACTATCTGAGATTGTAGTGTGTGGCCCTTCACGCCTGAAGGGATTAGGTTATCCACCTTCCTGGCCTAACTAGGAGGGTCTTGTTCACTAACGCTGTGCAGGGTATTGCATTACTGCAACTATTTCCAGGTTGCATGAATAGGAGCTACATTACCACAAAGACTGCGATGAGCATGATCCCCCAGTCAGTCTGCTACAAGCTCCTGCTTTCCTCCACCAAGTCCCCGTGACATCATCATAGTGAGACGTGCCACTGCCCTGAAGTAAGTAATAACCATTTGAAATGCACTGACAACACAGCCTGGTTCATTCAAAAGAGAATGAGGCAGTCGTTTGATTTGGAACAATGTGCCGGGTTCCAAGGCACCAGGAGAATTGGAGACAGAATGGGCCAAATGGCCTCCTTCTGTGCTCTAACAATTCTGTCACGAACTTTGGCCTCGCCCACAGTTTTAGTCGCTGAGCT